GCAAGTGGTGTAGTTTGGTGCACTTTGAGACGAGGTGACGTGAATGTGAACATGAATTTATGATGCCTTCAACTAAACCCACTATAATTAAGTTTTCCATATATTAATAGAGCTGGGCGATATGGGAAAAAATGCAATATCGCAATACTTTAAGACGTTTTTGCGATTTTTTTAGACATCTCATAAGTTGGAACAGAGAAAAAAGAACCTACATTTTAAAAATGCTATCAAAAACGTATAATACTTACTTAATAATAAGTTATAACTAAAAACTAATACAATTATTTTTATTCAATATTTGGCATACTGTGCAGCTAAACAGGACTAATCTTGCTCTCTTTACAATGATACAGGCTGTGGGTCAGTGTTCTACAAGCACTGACAATATACATGGTGTGCTCTCATGTTGCCCCGTCCTCTATATTAACTATAATTGTTCTTGTTACATGCCTGCGATGCTGGCTAGGCAGATTGATAGCTCATTGTATTATGGTTGTTGCTCTTTCTCTATAAATATTACTCTTGTATCATAAACTTTTTGCAGATTAAATTCAATTAAAGAAAAAACCTTGACTGAAATCACAACTACTGTGCCCTCATGTCCCTCCCTTCCTTCTTCCATCACAAGCCACATGTTACCTCCTCTCTACCCCAGCTATATCAGAGGAGTACATAACAGTTCTTCTTAAAGGCCTTCGCTGTTGAAACATGATGTAGTCTAGGATGAAATTTTGGTGGCGTCAAAAATACTAAATATTGCCTCTAAATACTAAATAAAGAACCGAACACCAATGTAACTATTGAGTATTCTAATTATTCGGGTCAGCCCTATTGTACTCCTGGCTTTTGTGAATGCAGGACTACCATTTTGCATTTAGCCCATTCACAAACCTCATACCTCAAGTATCATGACATATGTATTATGAAAATGGAAAATATTATCATGTTATGTTTTTGCCATATTGCCCACTCTCACAGCCCAGGAATGACAGAGGCCCTCCAGCAAAGCACACACCTGCAGCAGCTCAGGGACTCTATTCAGATCAGATGACTATATCAACTCTCACATCCAATTACAGTGTGCAGCCAATCAGCTCAACCTACAGCACAATCGGCCCGCGGTCCAGCAGGAGTTAATGAGCCATTGACCATTTAATGAAGCCAATATGATAGCAGTCACAGAGCGGATGGGAACGATGTGAAAAAAGTTTGAGTTTTTCCCTCCATTTTTAAGCCTCACCTATCATTAATGTTAAAAGAAGGCCATCAGCAGAAAGGGGGCAGCGCCGGTAATTGGGAGCAAATCGCTCGTTTTGCTGATTCGGCAGAGCGTTCCAGAACAGCGCCACTGGTCCTGCACATCACAGAGACAGCGAGCGGGAAAAAAATGCACAGGGACCTTGTGCCAAAATGCACGAAAAGCCTGCGCAACGCCTAATCAACAAAAATCCCCACACAGCAAAAACTGTTTGACAAAAACTGTATTTCTGTTCAGTTTTCTTCACTTTCGTTAGGACGTTCTGTCATGGCCTGCTGCCTCTCTTTCCCTGCAAAAATGTCTATGATGTGTTTGTTTTCTAACAGCAGCAAGCAAACAGCAGTACAGAGTCTAGGCCTTTCAAGGCTAATAGATATTCTCCCCATGCAATAAAGGGAATGTAAAAGAACCCTATTGTTATACATACAGTGCATGTGCGCATATGCATTTGACACAGAACAAATTGTATACCAGAGAAATGCTCGGGGGCTGCATGAAATTGCATCCACTTTTACATCAATTATATTCAAATCAGGTGCATCTGGTTGTTCCTAGATATGGCGACTGCACACTTTCAAAGACTATTACCCTTAATCAGATTACGGACCGTTCATTTCCCATCAGACCCCAGGCATGGTATTTCAGCAAGAGATCAATTAGTCTGAACACATGGAAGAATATATGAGTAGAAGAACATGCGTGGGTGTGCGATTGTAGCGTGTATTCATATGGTGGAAGGAGTGTGTGAATAAACAACCTGAGAAATGTTCTTTTTACAGCCATACACCGATCAGGCACAACATTATGACCACCTCCTTGTTTCGACGCTCATTGTCCATTTTATCAGCCCCACTAACTATATACGTGCACTTTGTAGTTCTACAATTACAGACTGTAGTCCATCTGTTTCACTGCATACTTTGTTAGTCCCCCTTTTACCCTGTTCTTCAGTGGTCAGGACCCCCATGGACCCTCACAGAGCAGGTACTATTTGGGTGGTGGATCATTCTCAGCACTGCAGTAACACTGACATGGTGGTGGTGTGTTAGTGTGTGTTGTGCTGGTCTGAGTGGATAAGACACAGCAGTGCTGCTGGAGTTTTTAAACACCTCAGTGTCACTACTGGACTGAGAATAGTCCACCAACCAAAAACTATCCAGCCAACAGTGTCCTGCGGGCAGCGTCCTGTGACCACTGATGAAGGACTAGAGGATGACCAACATAAACTGCAACAGATGAGCTATCGTCTCTGACTTTACATCTACAAGGTGAACTGACAGGGTAGGAGTGTCTAATAGAGTGGACAGTGAGTGAACAGTTTTTAAAAACTCCAGCAGCACTGCTGTGTCTGATCCACTCAGACCCATGCAACACACACTAACACACCACCACCACATCAGTGTTACCGCAGTGCTGAGAATGATCCACCACCCAAATAGTACCTGCTCTGTGAGGGTCCTGACCACTGAAGAACAGGGTAAAAGGGGGCTAACAAAGTATGCAGAGAAACAGATGGACTACAGTCTGTAATTGTAGAACTACAAAGTGCACCTATATAGCAAGTGGAGCTGATAAAATGGACAATGAGTTTAGATACTAGGAGGTGGTCATAATGTTATGCCTGATCGGTGTAGCTCGACAAAATATCAAATGTTATGAAATGTCAGACGGTTTTCCCCCTTAATGTATTTGATCAGCCAAGATATGTTTGATGTCTGAAGTTTGCTTCTTTCATTTTGCACTGGAGCTACAAGGCTAAAGTCGCTAATAAGTTTGGGCGATAATGTAAATTTAGACCAATGATTATTGTCTGCAGAGTAATCACAACAAATTATATCATCATGATCCGAATTCAGTTATGAAGCACCACATGTGAGCATTACATATAGTTCACATATACACTCTTAAAAAAGTATGATTCTTCAAGGGTTCCTTAGTAAAGAAAATAGTTCTATATAGAACCAGGAACACTTAAAGAATTCTTTGCATGATTAAGCAGTTCTTTGTATACTGAAAGCATTCTTTAGATTGATGGAGAATGTGCTATAGATGGTTCTATATAGAACCTTTTTGAACAGGGTTCTATTTAGCCCCAAAAACTGTTACAATCTTGACATTGTAACAATAGAAGAATCCCTTTTGGTTCTATCACATCAAAAGGCTGACTGGCCTTGTGTCCAGGCACACTGGACTGCTGAACTGTGTGGCACTCATCAACAAAGCCACGGAACACATCACATGACTGAAAGCTGTCACATCCCATTTAAAATACTCTGAGGACAAGCATCTGCACTGGAATGGCCTATTCTGACCCGAGGATGACAACTAGAGATTGTGGCGAACCTCAGCTGAACTTCAGACAATCAGCGTCCAATCTCCCTGACCACCGCAGGCCTGCAGGGTTTAATCTGAGGGTGTCCATGAGTCTCTACAAAAAATGGTGCAGCTGTGAGAAGAAATGAGCAGGAGTGAGAGCGTCCGCTAATCGCTTTACATCCAGCAAAGGAACCCTAGACCGCAGTCCAGCTTTGCTGCAACCCAAATAGCTCATCCTCCAGTACCAGAGTACTGTGACGAACCGTTCTTCAGTGCAGTGAGTAATGGGCTGAAGTTGTCCACCAACAAAAGCTGATACTAGAAAACCATTAGAAAAGAAAAATAATAGAAGCTAAATGATGCTTGACCTAACAGGTGAACTTATTGTGTAAGATATACAGTGGGGTCCAAAAGTCTGAGATGCTTCTTTTATGCATTTAATTTACAGTCTGAATGGTCATTAAGTACAAGTTAAAAGTACATTTTCAGTGTCAGGAAAAAAAGCAGAAAACAAGAAATTACACAAAAGCCTAAAAGAAACCAAATATCACTTCTCAGTATTTAGTATGTCCATCCTTTACCTTTATTACAGCTTCCTATTTTTTGAAGAGACTTGCTTTCAGCTTTTCATAGAAATCTGCAGGAACATTTTTCAAAGTTCAGTCTTAAAAGTTGCTTGCATTTTCTGTTTCTCCAAATCCAAGGAATCCCAAACAAATTCAGTGATGCTGAGGTCTGGACTCACTCTGGTCAGTCTATTGTTCTCAGCATCTCTGTTTGACTGGGGAAACTGGCTTGATTTTTTCATGTCTCTTATTTTCCTTTGACTTTCCCTTCCTTATGCAAGTAGATTATCTTATATCTAATCTCCTCAGAAATATCTCCTGAAAAAGAAATAACTTATACTAATAAACAAAGGGTGGTTATTGTTCCCAGTATTGTACAGCCTACAGAAAAATTCTAAAGAGCTATTAAAAGAAGTACATTGTTTTTCAGCCTAATCATGTCTGTATTATATGGTTGTTTCCCACAGACAGTAATTTTAATGTGTTTATCCATATTTACAAAAGAATAAAAGAACCCACTGACTTATAGTAGCACACACTCATAGTAGCAGCTAATGGGCAACTGCTTCAGCACCTGCACACTTCTATTACACGTGCATTACCTAGTCAGTGGGTTTGTGTTCTATTACTAAGTACAGGTAAATACATTGAAATGACTGTCCATGGTAATCGACTGTATATGCATGATAGAGATTAGGCTGGAAAATGCTGGAATATTCATTTAATGTGCTCTTCTGTGCTATAAATGAACTGCACATTGGCTGTATAAGGCTAACTATTACTATTACTACTATTAGTTTGAGGTAATAAATACAATTCACAAGCAAGTTCTGGAACCAAAGAAACTGCATAGATCTTACCTTCATCAATACTGATTCGCTGAGTTTCTCCCGGTTCACGATCTTTATGGCAACTTTCTGACATGTGACGCAATGGACTCCCAACTTCACCAAGCCTAAGACAAAGACAAAAGAGAGGAAAAAAGGCTACATGTCAAAAAACACACAAAGAAGCATTACCCAAAGAGCACTCGTCCCGGCAATAAAGCGCCTGTCTCAGCAAGACTTTGCCCTGAAATGAAAATTGTCTCTGGGAAGCCGCCATCATGCGTAAAATGAAACTCGGGTGCACTTTTCATGAAGCGCAGTAAATGTCAGGGAACATACATAAACACAAACAAGGCCAGATCAATGAGGAAAATCCCTCAGTAGCATTCTGTCATAACAACAATAAAGAAAGTAGCCCCCCTCGCGCTCAAAGGCTGACACGGGAGCAGGCGTATATCACAGGCCTTTCTCTAAATGCCACATCTTTGCATTCTTTTATTGCTGCCATACATTTTTCCCTGCATGCCTCTGCATATGAAACTGTTGATTTCCCTGCAGGGTTACCCAGGAGGCCGAGGGCTGTAAACACCTGACGGGTCCCCGCTACTCTTTCATGCCTGAGAGTCATTATAGAGCCTGAAGGGCAGTGTGCGACGGTCGCCCCGATATTGGGAAGTGTACAATCCCCACACAGGCGCCGGGACGTCCTGGAACCGCATGAATATTTCATCTCCGCGTAATTGCTTTGGACAGACATGTGTCAAAGCACAAACAGGCACCAGCAGCGTAACATGCTCACCTACCGAACTTTGCCAGATTACAAAGCACCAAACTTGGGCAGGGAACAGAAATGTGGAGAAGAAAGTCCAGGTAACATTTGCCAAGAACAGGCAGGTGAAAAGGTGTGTGCTTGCCCACTTGGAGCAAAGCAACAAAGTCCTCCGAGAACAAATTATTCAAATTACAAATAAACGCTAATAGCTTCCAGCAAAACTCTCCAGGATAATATGGATAAGCATTGAGGGCTACTGGGCAGAAAACACAAAAGCCCTGTTTGCAAGGCAAGGCGAATTTGGATTTCAGTCAAATGTATGAATAAATGCATACATAACAGGAAAATTAATTGTGGAACACATGTTAGACAGAGAGAGTGGGCGTCAAGGGGGCATTTGCAGAAACAGCAGGCAAAGCCTTCACATGGCCTAAAAATGGAGTCATATATCCACATATGTGCTGGCACAAACATACATGCCATATGTATGCCTAAGTAGAGACTATCGTTCCCATACCTCTTCCCTCAACCACGGCAAGCATGGATGAACCCTCACTATACACTCTCAGAAATAAAGGTAGTAAACTGTCACTGGGGCAGTTCCCCTCTTGTCACTGAGGTGGTACCCTCAAGGGTACATCTCAGTACCTTGAGTCAAGGAACATAACTGTACCATAATCCATTGAAATTATATATTATATTTTCTAAGTTATATTGACTCCACACACCCCGTCTCGTCTCGAGTCTTTTCATTTTATTGTTGTGTTTTAAAACATTAGGCTATGAAAAGGTACAAATACATACTTTTCTCCTGGAAAAACTTATTTACGGTAAAAATTAGACCTTAAAAACCACTGTTGCTCCTTTGAGGATACATTTACATTGTTAGTACCTTGATGAAGGAAAAATGTACCTGCACAGAAGCTCTATTTGTAACAGTGTATCTCCAAGTGTCTGAGGTAGAAATGTCCAACGCTGTTCCTGCACATTATACAAAAGGTTTGGAACTAAACTGTGCGAGAAGGTTACTCAAGAGTTTAGGCTACGTTTTTTCCTTCTCCTGTAAAGTTATAATTTTTGAGATATGAGGTTTTGTTCCGACAGCAGCGATACATACATATAGAATGGAAAAAAAAATGTTTTTTTCTTTCTTCCATTCTACTGGAATGGCCCACCTCTAGGGGGCCTGCAGAAAGACCTTAACATGATATAAAGATTCTACACCAAGTAAAGTTTTTCCTATGAGCAGGAAGCTGTAGTGTAGTGTTGTGTAGTTTGGAATGAAATGTATTGTGTGTTATCTTATAATACGCTTTGAAATACGCTTTGAACTAAGCATGCAACAAAAAACTGTGAAGAACGTCAGGACACATGCAGCTGATATTGCAGCTCAAATTAAATGAAATGAAGACATGTAGGCAGAGCCAAACATGGGAATTATTCAAACAACAAGATGTCAAAAATGTACAGTGGATTATGTGTGACTTGGAGATATCATTTTGTAGATCTGCTAGTTGTGTATTAAATCACAATAACCTATCGACATAAAATAATTTTATATTTCAGCAGTAAAGGAGGTTTAAATTCCCATATCTATGCTAAACTCTACAGCAGTGTAAATCTACAGGAGCCTGGTTTGACACCTCTACTGCATACTCCACCAACTTCCTCCAAAAACCCTTACGGTGAGTAAACATCTTAAATTCATACAGCAAGCCTCCAGTGGCTGAGGAGCGAGGCAGCCATGGAAACGGATGTTTGAGCTTCTAACTGCGGCTAAGCAGAGAAGCTGCAGTCACATTGACCCTCTTCAGTCACTGCACTGTGCAGAAAAACAGATAAACATGGGTGAGTCAACCGTGGCTGAGTTCTCCGCAGAGCCAGTCAGCGAGCAGTGTTCTTGTCATTTTTTGCAGAGAAAAACAACACTCTTCCATGAGAGATTTGTCCAATAACACTTTGCAGATAACTCCACGGGCTGAGGCAGCTGAAGGAGGCATGTGTGAAGGGAGCTGTCGCATTTCAGTGTAAAAGCAAATCGGAGCAAAAAATTACTAAATATGCTGAACTAAAACATCAAAAAATAAAACAAAGAAGGACACAACAACAAAACATGGCACAGAAAATAATTAATTTCTGAGAAATTAAAAGAAGAATTACACAAAAAAACTGAAATGTGGGGCATATTGACTTACAAACTGAATATATATCAATATTAATTGGAACTGTCCATGCTCCACCCATAAACATGTTCCTTTGTGGTTCCTGTTGCAAGGTTGGACAAGCTGTACAGAACACTTGCAAAAATCCCATTTAACGTAAAACCCACTGTGTAGAGTCGGTACATAACGTTTTCAGTTTAAAATGTTACGATACCAAGTTGAACATTGTTGCTGTAGCTGATCAAAACTCTAGGTTAGAAAAACGACAATGAATTTGCCAACGTGCTAACATTAGCTTCAGACTGGAAGAATCCATAGGTGTTTCCATCCTTCCACTGAATACAACTCAACTCTACACTCTTAAAAAGATGGTTCTTCAAGCGTTCTTTAGTAAAGAAAATGGTTCCATACAGAACCATGAACACTCAAAGAACCCTTTGCATGATTAAAGCGTTCTTTGCATTGTTAAAGGGTTCTTCAGATTGATGGAGATATAGCACCAAAAAGGGTTCTTCTATTGTTATAGGCTCGACATCATAACAATAGAGGAATCCTTTCTGGTGCTATTTTGCAAAAAGTTTCCATACAGAACCATCTACACCACATTCTCTCAATCTGACGAATGGCTTAACGATGCAAAGAACCTTTTAATTATGCAGCGGGTTCATTGAGTGTTCATGGTTCTATCTAGAACTATTAAGAACCCTTGAAGAACCATCTTTTTTAAGAGCTCTGTATGAAAAGATTTGTAGCTGTCAAGAAGTCAAAGAAGGTTTACCTTTTGAGTGTAACAGAGAAATGAAAAACAATGGATGATGTTTTAAATGCAGTTCACCTCTAAAAACTCGAATACAAGCAGAGGTACAGCAACAGTGTCATGTTTCCTTTGATGACATGGAAGTCTATGTTAGCATGTTAAAGCATGTCCCTGTAGCCACACCTCCCCTCTAACCAACACAGGTCACTAACAGATCGATAAGCGGGAGCTCATCAGTTACAGTGAAAGAGCCTGCCTGTGACCTTCAGAGGAAAAAGGCATCCATAATGACCAGGGATTCCCCCATTTACCACCTGCATGTGTCAAACACAGGCTTACTGGGGGTGTAAATCTCCAAGCACAAGAATCACTACTCAGAATTATTTTTAAAAACATGCTGAACAAACAAAAGTGACTGAATAGGAATTTACACAGTAGTGAAAAGCCGACAATAAATACAAGCTCTTATATTTTGTATACAAGAGTGAAAGATACAGAAGATTTTTCTTTTTTGAGTTAGAAACATAAGAAACATACATTATTTTTTTTCTACAGATAAAACTGAAATTATGGAATGTTCTGTATATGAACTCAAGAAAGTGTTCTGTATATACAGAGTATGAACAGAATTTTCCATTAAAAAGGTGACAGAATAATTCATTAATTTTAAACTTAGATAAGTTATCTAATGTTTTTACAGTGTATAACAATCCATTATAATCAATTCTAATGCTACAAAATCGATGCAATGAATTGGTGCATTTTTACACCAATAATACTCACTCATACATTCCTCTTTCTCACACTACTGTCCTCAACATCACACAGAAAGGTCACCCAGAAGCCCACTCAACAATATCTGCATTAATAGAATCCCTCTATAGTCTGTTACTGCCTACTGCTGGACACTTAAGGGTTCCAATCTACTAGCTTCAGCAGAAGAGCTGATGCAGACAATAGGCAGCCATGCTGCAGCCATGCCAAGCCCTGCAGTCCCACGCTTATCTATTTTTGATTAATGCACTCAGCGTCAGCATAAAAGACTTCATAATTATACAGCAGCCGAGGCAAAAGCAGCCTGCTTGGGTCCAAATGGAATGTGTGAAAACACTTTACTTGCAGCCTGCATATATGACGCATTGTGATGCATGCATGATTCATATCCCCAGCCGCTCATAAGGTCCCACTGATTAGTGTTTCCTGTTTGTCACCATTTACTGACAGCCTACAGATTGATGATTAGTTTTTATTTAAAAGCTGAGTTTCACAATTTTGCAGTAACATGTAAGTCTACTGTGTCCTGATGTCTGCTAAGGACATTTTTCACACCTCCAAAGTTCAGTCTTAGAAGTTGGCTGATTTTTCTACTTCTCATGATCCATGTTATCCCATGATCCACATGTGGGGTGTTCAGTCCACTGTTTTGAGAACACCAGC